TTGATTCTTACTCCTGGGTCATTTTTAAGTATTTTTTGAAGTGTCACGTTTCGGCGATTTCAGTCACTGTTGATCGATTTCTGCTAATTTTTGGAGTTTAAGGCATTTTTGCAAAATAGACACCCACCCACTATACAAAATAACACGCTTTAATAGGCATCTGTTAATTTAACATGCCACTGATAAAAATATAAACCCCTACAAGATAAATAATAAAAAATGCTAAAGTTAACAGTTTTACAGCAGAACATTTTCGACCAATCAAAGTGTATATGCAAATGAGCTGCAGAACCATTTCAATCAATCAGATCAGATTATTGCACTCTTCAACCCCACCACCGCCGCCGCCGCCACCACCACCACCACCGCCACCACCACCGCCACCACCACCGCCACCACCACCGCCGCCACCACCGCCGCCACCACCACCACCGCCGCCACCACCACCACCGCCACCACCACCGCCACCACCACCGCCACCACCACCGCCGCCACCACCGCCGCCACCACCACCACCACCGCCACCACCACCACCGCCGCCACCACCGCCGCCTCGGTGCCACAACTATCGACAACAACAACCCCAACAACAATAAAAATGTATTTTAGTGCTATAGTAGTTTATTAATACACATATTTTCATTTATACAAATTATTTCATAGTCCCTTGTGGATGAGGGATTCACTGTCTCTGTTGACGTTTTCCAGGAGGGCCAGAATACACCATAACATCCCTCTTTTTCTTAGGTTTTTTAAAAAGTCTATTCATCACATTTCCATTGGAGGTGTGGTCAAAGGAATCATTGTCACTCATTTGTCTGTAAACTCTCTTGGGTGGCCTATCCCGTTCGCCTATTTCTTTCTGCTGCTTGTCAATTTCTGCCTTGGCTCTCTGATAAACAGCTTCAGTGGGACTGATATGTTGAACAATCGGTTCATGGACTGATGACACTGGTATCCACTTGAGTTTTCCTCGTTTACCATATCCAGCATGTTCGATGACTCTGCCTTCTACTTGGGCTCGTATAAACTTCTTCCACACTTCTGGGTTGTCCACATAAGGCACTATCTTAGGCATTGTTGCTTCTTCCTCTTCTATTAATTATCTGATGCTAATGTCCAAGGTTTCCCTTTATATACTCATCAAACATTCATTCATGAAATCTAACTACGTTCGTCTTCTTCTTCCATCTCACTAGATGTATCTGCATCTTCTAAATCACTTCCGTCAATAGACTCTTCATCGTTAAACATTTCATCAGCGATATAAGAATATTTGGCCAAAGTTTTTCTGATGGCTCTCGACAGAGATATGTCTTGATCAACTAAGAATTCAATTTCTTCTACAATTTCTCGATGTAAATCAGTATCTTTGACTTCAATGAATAACCTCAGAATTTCACCATAATCATTTAAAAACTCAGATTTTGCTTTGGGATAAAGTTTTGCTTTAAGCTTTTGGGTGATTTCTTTCTCCGGTAATCCCTTGTTAGTGTATTTTTCATATAAAGTGTCAGGTTCATTTTTCAATACACCGATCACATTCTGCTTCAGAGTAGAAAATGTATAATTTTCCTTCAAATCTTCAGCATGGGGTTTATTCTTATCAGTATCTCCATATTGGCAATATTTTTGATGAATGTCTGTATGTTTTGTGGTAATCAACACTGTGCCACAGTCTTTACAATGGGGGAGATGCAAAATGGAGGGGTTTCTTAGAGTAATATCATCCATTGGACCTGGATACGTAGCCACCATCTGACTTGGTTGAACAATGGTATTTGATCGGAATTCCGTCATATCTTGCCTTTGTTGAGCAGTTGAGCTTCCTGCCGTGTTATAAAAATGTTGAAATGATGTATATGGATCACTTTCTACAACTTGCTGCAATGCATTAGGCTTCAGCCTCGAACCATCTTCAGTTTCTTGCTTCAGATCCACCACTAAGTAACCAAATGGATTTTCCGTAGCTTGTCTGTAAATGTCGAGCAAAGTATATGTCTTTCCAGGATACATTTGAGATGCCAAAACACTTATCTGTCTTTGATCCCTCGGGTTCTTGAATAATACCAAGTAATGGCTGTTTAAGCTCATTGTCCTGCTTTCTCCATTGGGTGGGAAAATATTTTGTTGTAGCGTGATAATGGATATATTTTTGTGATGAGAACCAGCTGTGTATAGCAATGTAACTGCCTTGCTTAAGTCCGCCATTAGGTCATCTATCACAACCAAATTGGTCACATTCTCATCGAAGTAATCGGGGTTCATCAAGTCATCACAAAGACCCATAACAAACTCGATATGAGGCTGTTTTCTCTTTATTTCTGCATACAAAGGCTACCATTGTTTGAAGAACCATACTATCCTTTGTGGCCGTGGTTTGATAAATTGTTCAGCTCTATCAATAAGGTTGACAACATAGGTTGTCTTTCCACATCCAGTCGGACCTGCGACAATTTTAGTAAAGGGATGCCTGAACTGTATAGGTGAGTCAAGATCAAAATTAGTCTCATCTTTTTTGTGCATGTTTTTCATATGTCTCAGAAGACTATCCTTCCTGGCAAATGTACCAGAACACAAAGAGCAAATGTAATCCATGTTGCCACGTAGATGAGGTTGCACTGAATGAATGAAACAAGTCTGCTTTTCACTTTTATATCAAAATATTAATATGCGGTGGTGGTGGAGGCGGCGGTGGTGGTGGCGGTGGTGGCGGCGGTGGTGGCGGCGGTGGTGGTGGTGGCGGCGGTGGTGGCGGCGGTGGTGGTGGCGGCGGGGTCAAAGAGTGCAATAATCTGATCTGATTGATTGAAATGGTTCAGCTGCTCATTTGAATATACACTTTGATTGGTCGAAAATGTTTCGCTGTTAAAACTGTTAATGTTAGCATTTTTTTATCTTGTGTGGTTTTATATTTTTATCAGTGGTATGTTAAATTAACAGATGCCTATTAAAACATGTTATTTTGTATAGTGGGTGGGTGTCTATTTTGTGAAAACG